TGCTGTTCTTGAGATATTGAACATACAAAAAGTGATCATGTGTTACAACGAAAGTTCAGAAAATTAACGATCTTCAACACTCGATATTCCACGAATAGCATATTCTTTTGGACTGAAATTTTTAGGACTATCGAATGACTATGAGATCTATCTATTGGCAAAATTTCAGGTCAAAATTCTGCAATGTCATGTTTTTATATATGCCTTGCCATAGGCCGAAAATTCAGTAAAACGGTCATAACTCAAGAAAGACAACGTATGGGGATGAACTCTTTTAGAGTTTTTCTAGTCTCATCGAGTTCTACTTATGGACAAAATATGAACCCGATCGGTGATTAACACTTGGGATAGTTCCCTCGTGAGATGAGAAAAAAATTTAATTACTTTTGTTTGACTGTATGCTATGATTTTGGCATTCTATTACTCGATTGTTGTTTAGTACAAAACCTGAAAAAAATCAGTAAAATTCTATTCAATAGTATCTTACAATTTATCGTCTTGTACAAATTGATTACTTGGTCTTATTTTTTGATCGACTAAACACCCAATCAATGACAAAATATGTATATAATCGAATCTAACCTTCTTCCTTAGACTTCTCTTGTTTAGACTATTCCGTACTGAACCAATAGATACCCTAGTCAACTTTCCCTGGTGAGTCCCGTGAAAAATGTGAAATCCCTGGTGAATCCCTAGGGACTCCGGGAAAAAATGTGAAATCCCTAGGGACATTGCCGGGACTCCCGATAAAATCCCTGATCAGTCCCTTATTTCAGGGAGTCGAAAAAGGTTAAAATAATCACTGGGAAGTCCCTCAGGGACTCCTACAAAGTCTCTGAGGGACTCCCAGGGAGTTGTTAGTGAACGAATTAATATAGTGAATAAGAGCGACATCTGTGTATAAGTATATTCAAATACAATATAGAGGTCAATCACAAGCTGACGATGGTTGCACCGTCAGCTGTTATGAAAAAGAAAAAATGTTGCCTCATTTTAATTTTTTTATCCGTTCTTTTGCGGTTAATTTTTGCTTTGATCAGGCAAGTCTTTTTTTCTTCGATGTTAGTTGTTTATATTTGTGTTTATTATCATTCCAGATACAAATACTTCGTCATGAATAGTGCCGAGCGCATTAGATTTCATCGTCAAAGAATTCTTGACATTAGTGGTCGCCTTAAATATATATGTGAAGCAAATGCAGCTGCTGGACAAATTGAAAGTACTGATAATATGAATCAAGATAATAATCTAACATATGTTAATGATGAACAAATCGATAATGATGCAATCAACAAATATTTTGATGAAATCTGTGAAGTAAACGACAACGAAAATGAATATGAAGAATTAAAGAACAACAATAGCAATAATGAATCTAATTCTTGTTCTGATATTGATAATATGAATCGAAATGATAATTTAACATATGTTAATGATGAACACATCGATAATGATGCAATCAATGAATATTTTGATGAAATTTATGAAGTAAACAACAATGAAAATGAATATGAAGAATTAAATAGCAGCAATAGCAGTAATGAACATGATTCTGATTCTGATCGTGGTATTGATTTTCGAACAGATACTGAAGATGAAGATGATAATAATAATAACATTCCTCTTTATCCGAATAGCTTTAAAACTCTTCGTCAAGCTTATACAGCAATAAAAGCATTTATTATTAAGTGTAATTTGACGTTTACACATATATTATATTTAATATCGTTGTTACTCTTCTTATTACCCTCTGGTCATCGTTTAACTCGATCAGGTATAGTACGGTCGTACAAAAAAAGAGAAAAATTTTTTTACATTACATTTTGTATCAAATGTAATGGAAAGGTAAATATGTGATTTTTTTTTTCTTCTTATGTAAAAATAAATGTTTTGTCCATTTTGAATTAGAAGTACTGTTAGCAAATTAGATTTCGCATTAGAGGAGCTCTTGCAATTGCTACTAGAAGATTTTTTTACAAGTTTCAAGCTAATCGACTAGATTTATTACGAAATTGCGGTCTAAGGATATTGATTCTTTTCTATTCAGGTTAATGCCGCTGATGGAAAATGTTTATCTACATGTATTCTTTACGGGAGTAAAAGGACAGCTGACTCTTTAACTGAATTGTGTATAGCTAATGTGTTTGATCGAACTAAATGCGTTGTGAAACGTAATCTATCATTAATATTAGAATATCAAAAACGTGCTAATCATATTTTACCTAACGACATTGTCAATAGTTCCGTGTATAATAAACTACATCAAGATAGTAAATATCATCGTTTAACTTTAATGATTCATTGTGATGGTATACAGATGATTACAACTAAATCAAAGAAGTTTTACGTTGTTACTGGCACATTGTTAGAAATTCCACCACCACTTCGTGAGTTTGCTCGCAACAAATTATTGTTGGTGGTGTATATGTCTGAAAATGAGCCAAAACCGTTATTACTCTATGATCATATTTGTAAACAGATAAACAAACTCATTCGTGAAGTTTTTGTTTTCATTAATCATCAAAAATTTAATATTAAATTTCAATTATTTAAAGCTGATCTGCCTTGCCGATCAATGTCTATTTGTATTAAACAACACAACGGCTATTACAGTTGTTCTAATTGTTTACAATATGGAAAAACAATTAGAGGAACATATGTTTATTACCCATACATTGATTCACAACCTCCTCGTTCTCATACTAGTTACTTATTGGCAGCAACTGAGGCCGAAAAAAACAAAAATCAACTCGCCATTTTTGGAATTCATGGAAAATCACCATTATTATCATTATTTTTTGATGTTGAAAAGAATTGCCCATTCGATTACATGCTTCTTTGTTGTAGGTAAATAAATGGTTCCATTCTACGTCTTAAAAATGATCTGCTCATTTTGTATTTATTTTTGAAAATATGTTGGGAAGTGCATATTTCTCTGTGTAGTTAGAGTCGAAAAATTACCGAGTTTTTTCGAGTTCTCGTGTAAATCTTCAGATGGTAAAATGAGATACTATTGATAGCAGTACAGCTCAAGAAATTTATTTTTTTTGTTGTTTTTTAAATTCTAGTACGCATATGTCGTCCTTATTAAACATTTGGATTAAACAATATGGACTCTCCACTCTTTCTTCTTTTGTGGAAAATATTATTTCTCCAACAGACTCTACAACAATAACTTCATTGAGCTGTATCAACTGGTGGAAGTCCAAAGATTATCGAATTTTTTTTGTTGCATGTGGCATTTCCACTAATACTTATTTTTGGTACACCTGAATTAAGCTCTCATTTTCTATTATATTTTGTTGCAATACGAGTTATGCACTTTTATGAAAATATGCAAGATGTAGTCGCCATCGAACCTCTACTTGATGAATACCGTAAAATGATGCCGACTGTTTATAATGATGATAAACTTGAACTATATAGTCTCCATGCTCACAAGTATCTTCCAAAACAGGTTTTATCACATGGTGCTCTTTTTACTCACGGTTGCTTTGGTGATGAAAGTTTTCTTGGTAGTTTGAAAAGAAGTAGACGAGGCAATATCAGAGTTCCCTATCAAATCTTTAAGTCTTACCTTTTACGTGATTCTCAATACAATGAAGAACAGTCGACGACGATTGATAAGCTATTCATTGATGAAAAAATTTATGATGATTCGTATTTAAACATTATAGTTCGTCAAGATTATTTTGTGGAATTTAAAAAAATTTATCTAAATGTATTTAATGAAACAATAACTACTGATTTTCCATTATTTTGTCGTTTCGTTCGTGGCACACTTAAATTTAATTCGTTAATGTACAGCAGAATTGGTTCCAGATTAAGCAACATCGTTTCCTTTAAAGATAATCGATGTCCTGTGAACAAATCCAAATGTTTTGGTATTATAATTTGGTATTTTAACTATCATTCAGAAAATTATGCATTTATTAAACGATTAACATGTACAAATGCTGTATTAAGAACTCAACGTAATGATCAGTTTGCAACTGTAGCACATGATTTTATCGATCGTTTTTATAATCTTATTGATTTAAACGTGTTTAAGTTTCACATAATACCCGTAGATGAGATTCTTCATCAGTGTGTAGTCATTCCATTTTTGCATTTGCACTTGTTTTCAGAAGTACTTTGCACTTATGAACATGATTGATTGTTTCAGGGAAAAATAGTAATGAAAAAGAATGAGCATCTATCATCAACCGCTCTTTTCTTGAATTTCAGATGTAGTACTTATTCTTTTCTATATTGTTCTAACTATCTTCTTTTTTTTATTTGTAGATTAACTATTGTCATGATATCAAGAACAAAAGCTATTACTCATGTACTATTCAAGACTAGAACCAACGATGAAGATATGATTGCACCATTAGACAAATGTAATATTACAAATGATGATACAGTTGAATATCGACGTGGAGAACACGTTTATGAAGGTCCATTAACAACAGTTGGTAAGTTCGCTGTGCAGACGTAGCATGGTCAAAAAGTCTAATATACACATTCGTCTAATTTTTTTAAAGGTCCAAAATCATTTTGTGATAAATTGTTGAAGAAAATGAGTGGTCATTCGACCGACTACTTATATTCCTCATTGCCAGATGATGATGATGAACAAGATGAAGATGATGGTTATTTAAATGGTGCAAAAAGTACTCAAGGTCTGAGTATTTTCTATTTGATTAGCATTGTTCTCAGCTAAATCTTCTATTAAACTTTAGTTCGAAAAAGAAAGAAAAAAGAAAACACATCAGTTTCCAAATATATGAAAGTCAATGGTGGTGATTTATGACGAACGTTGTATAAAAAAAAGTAAGCTCTTGACGATAGTATAGTCCGAAAAAAAGGGAAAGTAGGCCTAAGCAAATTTCTGAACAGTGTAAAGACGTAGCTATTCGAAATGTATGTTACAGAAAAAAGCTGAGCTTTTAGAGACTTGGTCATGTTCTTTAAAGTTTCGCTTTTCACTTATCTTGTTTAGATGTAATTGCCGGTTCAATAGGATCATCTTCTATCATTCAAATAAAATCACCGACTACTGCTGTGAGTACTAATGATTCTCATGTGGTACAAAATATTGAACCGACCACATTGTCATCTGCTGGAAATTGTATGTTTTTCGTTCTTCTCGAACCTTAAGAAGCTCTTGAATAATTATTTTTCGATTTAGATTCATTAGAATCAACATCAATTCAAATGATCGAATCTATCAATTTTGCTCCTATGGCGTCGAATGAAGTTTCAATCGGTAAGTACCAATAAATACTTGTACGAATACTAGGTATGTTTTTATATTTTTTTCTCTGCATCTTTTTGTTCGTCTTCTCTCGTAGTTGAATTTTGCAAAATATTTCTACTTTGCCATAAAATCTGAAAAGTTTCTTTTCACTTGAAAATAATAGAAGGATACACATCTTTTTGTTTCAAGTAGAAAAACCATTGTCATGTATTTATTTCGTCCTTTAGAAAATTTACCTGGTGCATCAACAATGTCACCATTATCAGCAGCCACAAAGATTCACGAATCTGAAACTTGTGAGAAAGAAAATCGAAATGTTCATACACCTGTCTCAAAGAAACGCTCAATTCCACTTCTACCATCATCATCGAATAAACTTTCTCCAGGTATGCGTTTTATTTCTCTTTATCGTTTTTAATGATGTGTTTGTCTGTATTGCAGCTGATCGTTTATCTAATATCGAATGTTCCATGAATAGTTTAATCTCTTGTGTGAATGATCTCGGTGAACAAGTTTTATCCTTATCTCGTCAATTGAAACTAATGATAAAAACATTAAAAGTTATTCATAATGTAAGTTTTAGATTGTAGATGGGCAAGATAGGAAACCCATAAATGAATAAGAGCAGGAATATTGTTGTTTTTTTGTTACGCATTAAAATTAGAAATTAAATAGAGATCTTTTATTCACTAAACTCAATTTCAAGTCTTATAATCAGTGCTAAAATCTTACGTGTGTTTTTGTAGCATTTAATACCTCATAGTATCACAGATACTATTGTAACACCTACTGCTTTACGAACTCCAGAATCATCTTCTAGCACGCCAGCAGCGAAAAAAGTTTTGGTATGTGCAATTTTTCCTAGATTTTCGATCTAACCGTTTGTTAATCTTGTACATTTATTTCCTTCTTTTTCAGATGTTCAATGATTAAAATTTAATGAATTTAAGCCATGAATTAACTTCAATTCGATCTTTCTTACGTAAAATGACAATGGCAATGTACACACGTAGTGAAATATTAGCTGAACAACATTTAGATGGTAAAGATGATCGATATATGACAATAATTCGTAAGTCATTACATGTTCTGAAGCAATTGTTGATTCTCTAAGGATGAGATGATTATTTCAGATCTATGCTCGTTTAAAATGTTGCTTTTACATAGCTGAATCAGATGCTATTCTTTATGTTTTTAAAAAATTTAAATAGCAAGTTTTTTACTTCCCTTTACAAGAAAAAAACGATTTTCAGTTGAAAGTAGTACGGAGTGCAAAAAATTGACCCCTTGAGATTAAGATGTAACTAAATATTTATTTATAATTATAAATGAACTAAATTATATACCAACAGTAACCATAATGAATGTTCAAATATACAATATATACAACAACAATTTTATATAATCTTACAATAAAAAAAATTTAAACCAAAGAATAGTGACCATTTTTTCACCCTATGTGGACCTATTTCCCATGGTAGTGACCTGCTTTGAGCTCAAAAACTAAATAACCTCTCCACATTTTTTGTTGTTGAATTATATATAGAAAGATGCAGTTTTTGACAGGCTTTCTCCTGATGCAAAAAGGCTTTGAGGAGAGAATTGCTCTGGTATACTTTCAGAGCAAAAATATAAAAACTTTTCATAAAAAATGATCATTTTTGTCGATTTATTTAGTTAAAAATAACACATTAGAGACTCTTTGGACATAATTTATATTTGACAATCTTGTTCTGTCATAGTATATTTTACAGATCTAATCAAGATACGTTAATTAATACTAAAACAGAGGGATCTTTGATGCTAATATATGTGGTCATAAAGTGTTACATAGAATTCTCTAAAATTCATAAAATAGTACCTGAGGATGAATTCAAAGATCCATTCATATCTCTTGATAGGACTTTCAGAAGGGGCTAAAAATTTGGGTCTCAACATAACTTTTCACGAGCTTTCGAATTGTACAACTTATTTAAAAATCAAAATTTGTCGTATGCATGCTTGGTCAGTAGTCTGATGGATCCTCTCTTAAAATTAAATTTTCTAATATATGATAAAGAAATAGGTCCACCTAGGGTGAAAAAATAGTAATTATTGTTTGATTTAAATTTTTTAATTGTAAGATTGTATAAAATTGCTTTTGTAAATATTGTATATTTGCACATTCACTACTGTTACTCTTGGTATATAATTTAGTTCATTTATAATTATCAATAAATATTTAGTTACATTTTAATCTCAAGGGGTCAGTTTTTTTAGCACTCCATACCATTTGTATGAAGAGCGAGTGCAACTTGAAGATATAGCTTTCTTATTTCCTTCAGAGTTTTCCCATTTTCATTTCATTAAGAAATACATTTTCTTGTTTTTCTACTTTTACAAGGTTTAAAGAGTGGTTTTCATTTGGATGATGATTGTATTGCAGCTCTACATGCATCATTGAAAGAAACAAGATGTCAATTAGCACGAGATGTACGATATTTAAAAGTTATGAAACCAACATCTGTAGAACGTGCATCAACAAAAAATATTGATCAAAATCAGGATGAACGTACGATCGAACAAAAGGAGGACGATTCAACAGGTGCAAATGATACATGAACTGTAATACTTGAAACATTCTTACGACAAACATGAACAGATCTTTCTTCCTTCTCATGATACTCTTCTTTTTCTCTCTTTTTTCTTCTCTTCTCTCGTTAACTCTGCTACAAATATTTACTTGTGTCATACTCTATCTTTTTTTGACATAAATGTGTTAAAAT